TTATACATTTAAAATTTTATATATTATATAAAAAGTACTTATTATTAATGCACATCGCAGGAGCTATAAGAGACACTTGTCAGTTATGGGGACCTTTCCCCACATGCATCAAGCCAAAAAAGCTGAATTTTGCAGTCTTGCATAAAACAAAGAAAAATACAAGAACTGTTGTAGTTCAAAAGACTCCTCCTTGAATAAGCAGCTCTGGATTTGAAGCATGAATATTCTAGTTCCACATTCTTCCTGTTCCAAATGCCTTAATTTCCATTGTTCAAAGCTTAAACAGGAGGCATGAAAGTTAACAAAAATTATGTAAATGGAGAGAAAATGTATTTCAGAAGGTTTCTCCTCTCTTCAAGTAGTTTAGAATCATTGTGTCAGTGTTAGTAATGCTTTAAGGGGAGATCTGATTTAACTGGCCAAAATAATGGGTTTTAGATGCAGTGTGCAGGAGTGAGAGGCTCAGCTGCTTCTGCTGTCTTGCTTCCTTAGCCAAGGGCTGTGATACAGGCAGGTGGGTTCACAAGCTTGAAGAAGAGTTCTCCAGTAGAAACAAGGCTGTCAGTTGAAAATGGCATCGTATGCTAAAAAGTAAAATAAGAAATAAGTTTCTTTTTAAATTTTTTCAGAGGGTCATACTCATTTTTGTCAGCTAACATCATGCTGCTGTAGCCTCATCAACTAGACAAGATTTGCTGTGCAGTTAAAGCCGGCTTATAGTTAGGGGGACTGCATATGAAATAAAACCAGTGTGTGTGAGAATTGAGATTGCTTTGCTAACTTGCTGTTAGATGGAATGCTGTCAGTAATATTCCGATTAGCTGGTTCAGAATTGCACGTGTTACCTAACTCACAAATGTGAAAGCTGTAAACTGAATCCTCTACTTATTTTGGTACATTAGCTTCTTCTGTTGCCTTAAAAATGCTATTCTTACTCATCAACCTGAGAAAGCATGACCTCTCGTTTGCTTTTTTCATTGCTGTTGATGCTGACCTTGTGAGCCTTTGGGGGCAAGACTAGTTGTTTTATTTGCACGTATGCTACAAAACATGAATCTGAGAATACACTGTCATTTCAGGGCTGACGGCTGATGCCAGAATAGTTATAAATAGAGCTCGTGTGGAGTGTCAAAGCCACAGACTTACAGTGGAGGATCCTGTCACCGTGGAGTACATCACGCGTTACATTGCTAGTCTGAAACAGGTACGTTGGACCGCACAGAGATGCTTAAAATATGTCTGGATGAACAGCGCTTCAGACTAAGTATGTAAAATGTTTGTCCTGGCCTTGTTCTACTCCGCTGGTAAAAATCGGCGTAACAAAACACATTGCAGGTGTTTATTGGAAGTAGGGATGTAGTAACAGAAAAGGCAGATTGATTACTGATTTGTTTTTTTGGTGTTGTGTCCCTCCGTCCTCCTCCCCCAAGATGAAGAAATTAATTAGAACTTGTAAGGACTGCATAACTACATTTGTGATATCATCAGGAACGCTCTGCTAATCTACAGCTCTAACTCGCTCTCCTAACAATGGTGCTGTGTTATTGTCAAAACATCTTCATGGCTCCTCTTCGTTTTCCCTCCTACTAAGCCATTGCAGGGATGGGTAAGAGGGGAAGAAATCAGTGCAGTACTTGAATAACAAATGTAAAAATATATTATGAATTTAAATGGATTACAGTCTCAAAACGTGCCCAACTGCATTCTGTGATAAAATTATTCATTTGCCAGTGTATTAAACCGATTTCCAGCAGCTAGTGGGGATTAGAAGTCTAATTTACTTATGCACAGACATGTTTCAGTATAGTGATGATGATCTAGTGCAATTCTTGTAATAATCGCTAGCTTGCCAGAGCAGAATACCGCTTTCCAAAGTTTCACTTTGTTCTTCACAGTAATCTCATGTTTGTGTCTTCCATTCTGGCACATTCCCGATTTCTCTAAAACTGTTACAAACCATGAATCTCGCTCGGTAAGCTGCTGGTGTCAGGCCTCCTCGATCATGGGCACTTCTGGTGTGTGACATGGCAACGACTTTGCTAGCCCAGTGTCAGCAGGAGGGCTGTAACATGGGCTTTCCTGTGGCCGGCTTATCGCCACAGAGGGTGCTGGGCTTTCTGATGGAATCGTTGCAAATCATTGGTGAAAACTGACTTTGTGTTCAGGTGTTGTCATCCTCTTTTTTGGCTTCCTAAGTGTGCTTGTCAAGGCAGAGCGTTACACCTGGGCTTGCAGACTTGGTGCTCTGGGCACCACCCAGCCAAGAGAGATTCTGCCTGATAGTGGTAACCACGCAGCAGACTTCCCCAGGTGTTAGGAACAGGGCTTGAACAGTAAACACCTCTCACTTGCCTGGCTTACAGTCTTCTGTAAGACACGGATTCCTGACTTTAACAGGTGGATTGGTAAGAGAGCCCGCTAAAAGTATTTCTCATGCCTTGTCTGGTTGTAACTTGTACACTGTCTGCTTCCTGCTCTAAAAATGTTTTTAGAACTGCTTCTGAAATCAATGTCTCTTCTTTCTGATCAGAGATACACACAGAGCAACGGGCGCAGGCCTTTTGGTATCTCTGCTCTTATCGTGGGATTTGACTTTGATGGAACCCCCCGGCTGTACCAGACCGATCCCTCTGGGACATACCATGCTTGGAAGGTGAGTTGATTCTGTCTATTGCAGAGAAGTAATGAAATATTTGTGAGTTTGTCTCTTTTAAAGAGTGACTGCTGTAGAAAGGAGATCTAACTGGCCAGGTGGTGCTGGCTCACAGCTGCAAAAATCCTTAATGATCAAACTTACTGAGAATGGCAGTCTGCAGTTCAGCTTTGCTTGGGAAATCTTGCCCTGTTTTCCAGAAAAACACCTGTGCCTGACGACTGTCTCTGTGTGTGACATTTGGGCAGTAACATGTTCAGTCTCCTGAAAAATACATGGTGATCACAGAATGGTTTCGGATTATGTAATTGCACAACTCTTATTTCTTGCTTATTCTGTAAATGAAGTCTTTTCTAAACTTCCACTCACTGTCTTTTTTCCCCTCGATGTTTCCAGGCTAATGCCATTGGCAGGGGAGCCAAATCTGTGCGTGAGTTTCTGGAGAAGAACTATACTGATGAAGCCATTGAAACAGACGATCTAACTATCAAACTTGTCATCAAGGCTCTTCTGGAGGTGAGTCTGTTTCGAATGCCACCGTATGTCTGGATTAACTTCTTAAATGTGGGTACCTGTACTGTCCTGTGACGTGCACGAGGATTTTCTGTAAAAGGATCTGTGAAAACTGTTCATTGCAGGCCATACGTGTGGGATTAAATTCAAGGTTCAGAATATTTCAGGTCACGGTTTCTGTAGCTTACACAGAGGAACTTGGTAGCAGTTCTCTGGGGAGGAGAACGAACTTCAGTTCTGGGCATTGAAACAAATGCACCAAAGATGTGCTAAACCATATGCAGAATGTTTTGCTTCTTTACTGAAGTTTAAGATAGAGAAAATGTCAGAAGTCAGATGGTGGAAGTGAGGTGTTCTTCACCAGCCACTGAGTGCATGGGTGCCAGAAGGAAGACCCTTACTTTTTGAGAGTTACGCTGCTGTGGAAATCGGGAGCTTAGAGCTAATGAGCGAAATACTCCCCATCATACCTGTTCTCCTGCCAAGATGACCTGAAAGGGGGTTGTTAGAATTAATTAACGGACACGCTCCTAATACCACCATGTAACTCTTGTTAAGGTTGTGCAGTCCGGTGGGAAGAACATTGAGCTGGCGGTTATGAGGCGAGACCAGCCGCTGAAGGTAAGGCCTCCGCTTTGTTATTCTCCCTTTGCGGCTGTTTCTCTGATACTGGCGTTGTTGATCTGCCTTAGCTTCCAGCCCTTAATCTCACATTCTGCCCTGGCAAATACTTCTGTTTATTATTAGTGGCCAAGGAATGCTGTTGTGTCTGCACAAGGTACCTGTGTCTGTATAAATACCAGTTAACTTTCTTTCCCTGTCAGAACTCGAACTGCTTAAATAAAAGCCTCTAAGTTGCATGAGGATCTTGAGGGTCACCCATGTTTCTGTTTTAGATCCTAAACCCTGAAGAAATTGAGAAGTACGTTGCTGAAATTGAAAAAGAAAAGGAAGAAAATGAAAAGAAAAAACAGAAGAAAACATCATGATGTTTTCAATTCAACTGCTTAGCTGCTGCTTTTTAATTCAAGTGATGGGTTATTCTGTATAGACAACATGTAGGCATTCCACTTACTCCTACTGTGCCCCTCTCAAGACCTACAATAAACCTACTGACTTTTTTTTAAAGCTCTTATTTTAATTACCTAGGATTATTTGGTTGGTCACAAAACAGCAGTTGTGACCCATTGAAGGACAAAGACTGCATTTTTTTGTTTTCCTCAGACACTTCAGCTGGTTTAATGATTCTCTTCCATGGGGTCTCAGTTATTAGCTTTTTGGTGGTTTTTTGGTTTGTTTTTTTTTTTTTTAGTAGCTGTCTCAAGTGTTGTGTTATGACCTCAACAGAACATAACTAAACTGGAATTATGCTTTTTCTTCCCTAACTAACATCTTCAAACTTACATGGCTAGGGGGGCCTTGCAGCAGCCTGTGATGCACGGCACAGGGATGTTGGGGGGTCGTGTTTTGGGAGGTCACGGCGAAGGGATGGCTGCAGGTCTGTCATCACAGCAGAGGTGTGTGACGTGGTGCTTATATAGAGCATGCATGATTCATCCCGTTCAGAATAAAATGTTGCTGTTGTGATTGCCCACGAGGGGATTTACAGACCAGTCGCTTCCTAATGCCAAAAATAACTATGAAGAATGTTACATACAAGCCAGTGAAACCAGAAAGCTCTAGTCCTGCTTCTCCTTTTGTATTTACCCTCACCCTGCTTCCCTGTACACCTGACCCACAGGAGTTGGGTTTAACTCTGCTGCTGGCTGAGCCTGCTTGTTCCCAGTTGCAGCGATGGTGTGAGCCTTCTCTTCCCTGGTGCTGTGCACTGAAGTCCCGCTGCTCTTGAGGCAGGACCTGCTCCATGCTATCTACTCCCTGCAGCCATTAACATGTGTAATGTAATAAACTTAGCAACACCTACTTTTGAGGGTGTCAGGTGATAGCTGTTTACTCAAATGGTATAAAACTAACCCAAAGGGGATGTGGCTGGGAAGGAGGAATTTGATTTCAGAGAGGTATTTGCATTGTGGCATCTCTGCTCTCCAGTTCTGGTCATCAAAAAGCTCTTCCCAGCTGCTGGGCCTGCTGTCACCAGCCCTGCCCAGCAGGAAGGCTGGCGGGGACAGTTCTCTGGTGACAGCTGGCACCTGAAGGCCCTCGTGACATGGAGGAGGCAGAAGCAGGCGGGGGAGCTGGCCACCCCGTGCTCCTCAGAGGGGTCAGGCCTGGGCTGCACCTCCAGGAGGGTGCTGCACAGGGGTGAACAGGACTGACACCTTTATCCCATCTTCATGTGAAAAAGTGGCATGGTTTTGGTTTTTTTTTTCCCCTCTCTCTTTTGTTCCTGGGGCTTTGTTTATCTTTCAATGCAACCCCCAAGCTGGGCACAGTAAAAGGCTCTGTCCATCCTGGCTGTGTTCCTGTGGACATCTCTATTCCCAGCACTCAGGGAAGGGGAAAGCAGGGTGCTTCCCTCACGCTGTGGTGCTCGGGGTGTCTCTTCCCGTTTCAGTGAAGCCTCAGGCCTCCCCGAGCCTGAGCTCTTGCCCACAAGATCCGTGCCTGCCTGCAACAGGAATAGGGAAACTTATAAAGGTTTCCCTGTTTATATCCACCAAGGCGGTGGACCTGGAGCAGCCCTTGAAAGCAGCTCCTCAGGCTCTGCTGACAGCCAGCACAGGGCTTCACAGGCCTAGAGCAAGGCGCACCTGGCAGCCAGCCCAGCAAGGACAGAAGTGCCCCAGCCCCTGCGTGAGGCAGCTCGGCGACAGCAGCCCCCGCATCCCCCGCAAGGCTGCTCCAGGAGCACTCCCAGCAGCAGCTGCAGAGCCACAGCAACTCACACACCCAGCCGCTGGCCCCACAGCTGAGCTGTTTACAGCTCACCACTGCAAAGCAAAGTGTGGGCAGGGTACAACACAGGAATCAAGGACAGGAAGGCTGCAGCGCTGCTGCTGCTCAGGAAAGCATCGGACAGCAGCAGCTGGAGGAAGCGAGTTGCTGGGTAAGTTTCATTTACTAGTCCTTGGACTGGAATTTTGAAGTTACAAAAAGCTGCCTTCCCTTCCCAGCAGAAGTCACCACCATCATTCCCTCACATTGGGAATCTTCCACCTGGAAGCTGACAGGGCTGCAGCAGAGCAGGCAGGGTGAGCGTTCCTGCTGTTCAGTAGCCCAGGGGCTGGGCCAGGAGCTCAGCGCAGCTCCCGCACGCTGGGGCAAGCCAGGTACGGTGCCCAGCTGGCAGAGGCTGGGGCACAGCCATAGCCCAGGGACTTCAGCAGCATCAGTAACAGCGATTGTGCCGCACATATTGGAGCTGAGGCTTTGCTGTACAGACAAGGGGAATGACTGCCTTAAAAATAAATAGAAAGGTGTTATTACATAAAAGTTAACGATGACTTCTCGTTTTGCCACAGCCACCTCAGACAAGTCAGTTGACGCTGGCAGCGCAGTGTCATCTTCACACTCACCATCACACTGGCTGTTTTGCCAGCAGAGAAATTAGAGGCTCACAGCAGCTTCCAAGGAAGCCGTTTCAGCACACGCCCTGTTCTGCCGGTTTGAGCCCAGATACTGAAGGCATTTGCGGCTCCTGAACCCGCAGCGCTGCCACCCAGACCAGGCTCTGGTTAAGCTGCACCAGTGCCGGGACCCGGGCTGGGCCAGGCAGTGGCATGGTGGCACACACCAGGTGACGCTCGCAAGGCCGATTCCTCAACAAGAGCACCGGAACATGGGGTAACAGCAACAGGGGGTCCCAGTGCCTGGATTAGGGTTTTTAAGCCCATTTCTGATACCACGCAATGCGTCGCAGGCCTGCCAGAACTCTGCAGCACAGTTTTCTCCAACTCAGATTTGAGCCCCGGCAGGACAGGCACCTGACAAGTTGTAGGGAGCGATGTTACTGAGCTACATACAGAACAAAGGAGGGAAACATTAAACATTTACATGTTTATTATAATTACAATTTACATTACTCCAAAGAGCAGCCCCACTGCTATCTTCTAATTCTTAGCAATAAAGTCCTACAAAAATAAATCCAAGCTTTTACAGTAACCTAGGTCAATGCGTAACTAAAAAATTCTAGCTATATAAGGGGTTCAGTCATCAAGGTGCTTTTTCAACAAAATTCCCTACCAACCAAAGAAGGGACACATGCCTATAGCAATTTAACCCACTTATTCATGCAAACAAATGTAACCCCCTCCCCAGCCCCTCTCCCCACATACAGATTTTTAAAAACAAAAGAAAACTAAACTATTTACAGTATGGGGGGTACAGAGGAAACAAAATTAAACATGCCCATCTGTTAAGCTTCATTATATGGACTCCCATCCCTAGTTTAATGAAAACATTCCATAGTGTTCCACCACAGTCTACTAGTGTACAGAGAACTGTTTGCGTTCGGTACTACCTGCGAGCGAGGTACGAACTGAGGAAAGGAGCCGGAGCTTCAGATCTCCTTCCCAGACAGTCAGCTACTGCCAAAACCTCTTCACTCCGAGCGCGCGAGCAGAGGCGCCGGCCACTCCTGTCCCCCCCGAGGGCACAGCACGCTGTCCCCCCTGCTGCCCCCACCCAGTGAGGAGCTCCGAGCCTCTGAGGAGCGCCCAGCACCCTTCAGCTCAAGGGAGTCACGGCTCTGCGAAAGCCCGCAGCACCTCCGCGTTAGTACCAGCCAACAAACAGTTGTACGGTCATTTACACTACTACATGATCAACAATCCAGTATTCCCAAGTGACAATATACATAACTCCTCAGCACCAGGAATCCATTCTTCCAGATACCAAGTGCCACTTCACACCTGCTGCCGAGAACAGTGAGACCAGCAGCACCAAAGAATCCATTTGGTTACTCAGAACAAACAAATTATAGCTGGTTGATTTCAAGTGAGCTTTGGTTCCATGTTAAAATAGCATGACGTATCTTCTTCAGGGTTCAGAAAAGGAGTCTGACTTTAAGCTTAGACTATAGCAGCCTTTGAGAGACCCAGAAAGAAGAACCATGTAAGTTAGTCTGCACTTAAAAAAACAAAAACAAAAACACACAAACAAAAAAGACACCCTGAAGAAGGTACCCCTGAACACATTCCCTCTTCCAAAGAATATTCCAGCTGACAGTTGCTGGTCCAAAATAAGTCCAGAATATAAGCAGTAGTACATGAAGTTCTGTCGCTTGAGCTGAGACAGTAAACAATATGAACCATTTTCCCACATTAGTGCAGCAGTTGGTTGTTTTCTTTCTATATACAGTTTCATCCTCTCAGGAGATATGTTAGAACCTATTCAGAAAAAACAGGTAGAATTAGGTTTGATAGCGTGGGGATCTTCTCCCAAGAAAAAGAAAAGCAGCAAAGTATCAACTGAAATGCTTCGCTAGAGCCTCAGCTCAAACAAGCAGCTCTTGCTTTCTCAGACAGAAGGCTAGCCCAAGAAATCAACAGAACAATCAATGTGTTAAAAACACTTGTATTTCCTTCTACCACTTCAAAGGGCAGATCAGATACAACAAGGAACAATTCTGGATCTATCATGAGACTGGAGAGCAAAAGAGGTTGCACAGACAGTTCAGACAAGGAGCAAGAGACAAACCTGGCCCAGAGACAGTACTTATTCTTGCTAAAAAACTTGCCTCTGCAGTTACACTCTGCCAGTACCAGCTCTGTGAGTGGTTTGGTTTCGCCTTGCTGCTCCACTACCCCTTCCACCTCGAAATCCACCACGAAAGCTGCGGCCACGAAGGAACCGTCCAGACACTCCAAACGTCTCTGTATTGAGCTTCCTTTCTTCAGCCCACGTGGTACGCCTAGAACTGAACAAGACTGCATTCAGATTTAACGTTAAGTAATCACCAACTCATTTAGCTAGGAAGCTTCAAGCACCCTGTTTTGTCGAACTAAACCGCAGCAAGAACAAGCTGCGGCGTACACATGCTCACTAACTCAATTCCTCTGCTAAGCACAGATTTGAAAGCAACAGCTGTTGGCTTTTGTAAGCTACTTTCACACTGGAAAACTAAAGATGGGCCTAGAAAAGGGTTGAACATGGTCTCACTAGCACTTCAAACACTGTCTTGTTTTCTTGAAAAATACAAACTCTTGACTCCATTGAAGCCTCTCCAGAAACCTGGGA